ATGTACCCAAGAGTCCGGTGAATGAAGACCATCACAACAACGAGGAGGTGGACCAAGCTGCCAAGGTGAAAGTGTCTCAGGTGGATCTGGACTGGCAGCACAAGGGATAATTATTCCTAGCTCGTTGGGCCTATGATGCCTCTGGTCATCAGGGGAGAGATGCAACCTACCGATGGGCCCGTGACCGAGGGGTGGACCTTACCATGGACAGCATCTCACAGGTCATCCACAGTTGTGAGACCTGTGTTGCAATCAAACAGGCCAAGCGGGTGAAGCCTCTGTGGTACGGTGGACGATGGTCAAAGTACAGGTATGGGGAAGCCTGGCAAGTTGACTACATCACCCTTCCCCAAACCCGCTAAGGCAAGTGCTACGTGCTGACCATGGTGGAAGTAACCACTGGATGGCTGGAGACCTACCCTGTGCCTCATGCTACTGCCCGGAACACCATCCTGGGCCTGGAAAAGCAAGTCCTGTGGAGACATGGCACCCCTGAGAGGATTGAGTTCAGACAATGGGACTCATTTTAAGAACAGCCTCATCAACACCTGGGCCAGAGAATACAGTATCGATCATATCCCTTATCATGCACCAGCTGCCAGGAAAGTTGAACGCTGCAATGGACTACTTAAAACCACCCTAAGGGCATGTCCTGGTTCAGCTAGGATAGAGTAAAGTTTTCCCCAGCAGAGAGAGAGGGGGAAGGGATCTCCAGCCGGGTTATTCATACCATGCTGACGTCAGGTCCGTGGGCGGAACCCTTTTCCTTGCTCCTTGGTTGGTACTGGAGGGAATTTTGCTTTCCGTGACCAGCTAGCGGTATTTCTCTGTATATCGTTTGTCTTGTTCACTGTTATTGCTGTTTATTGTTGTTACCATTGATACTGTTGTTATTCAGATTATTCTATCACTCTGTTGTATTAAATTTCTTGTTATTTCAGCCGGGGTCTGTGTTTAACTTCCAGCCCGACCGGCGCGGGTTGGGGAGGGGCAACGGCCACATGGTCCCTGATCCCGGCAACAATTAAAACTTGCACAGGGCACTTTGTGGGGGGACCTTCAAAAATTGGGAAGTGAACTTAGCAAAGGTCACCTGGATGGTCAATACCCGAGGGTCCATCAATCGAGCTGGTCCCGCCGAGTCTGAACCGTCGTACACAGTGGATGGAGATAGAGTCCCTGTGGTACACCTGAGAGGTATTTTAGGAAAGACTGTTTGGATTAATCCCACCTCAGGTAAAGGCAAACCCATCCGTGGGATTGTCTTTGCTCAAGGACCTGGTTACACTTGCTGGGTAATGCAGAAAGATGGGGAAACCCATTGTGTACCACAAGGAGACCTAATCTTAGGTGAGAACTGTGTGTAGGGTTTCATTGCATATGTAAGTGGGGGTGTGTGTGTGTAGAGTTTAAGGAAGGTATGGATTTGGGATGATGGAGATGATAATAGAATAAGGGGTGGATTATGTCCTGGGTTGCAGTGTGTTCTGTTACCACCCTCATGAGCTGTTGAAATCAGGTGGGGCAGTGTTTCCTTGTTCCCACCCCCCCTCCCCCCCTCCAGACTATCTTTCTGTTGCTGGCCCATCAATGCCATGCAGCATGACTCATTATCCCATTGTGAGATGCTCCACCCAGAGGGAGAAAACCAGCATTCCATCCTGG